GTCCTGGGCGGGTTGGTCCTGAGCAGCGGATCCCTGACTGGGAGAGCTGCCAGTCTGGGCGGGGCCCAGCCATGTGGAACTGGGCTGGTGCCCGGCTCCCAGAGAGTCCCTGGAAGGTGTAGTTTCCCAGCGGCGAGCGGCGAGCGGCTGAGCAGGTGGTGGGTAGAAGGCACATAGACAGGCACATCATACAGAATAGAATTGGATATTTATTACTTAGAGGAGAGAGGAAGAAAGAGAAGAAGAGGAGAGAGACAGAGAAGGGCCCAAGGGAGAGAGAGAGAGAGCATGCCAAGAGAGGACCATGAGAATCTAAGATGGCGGGGGGGGGGGGCAGGGGTTGCCAGGAATGGACATTTCATCTTAAAGAGATGAAAACCATAACATTCCCAGCACTTTTTTATAATAAAAAGCAGGAGATTAGACACCACAGTTTGATGGAATTGGGGCAGCGGATTCTCAAAACTGCTTCCGGCTTATTTGTGGGTGTCATCTTTGGGGGATGGGAACCTGAGAAGGCTGGGTGCTGGCCACATCCTGGCATAGCTGGTCTCTTTGCTCCCGATCAGTGTCTGTGGCATGGAAATGTCTGGTGTCTCTTATCCTGTTTAAGGTATTGGCAAAACAAAGAACAAAGTTAAATTAAGGAAAAAAAATTTTTTTAGGACCAGGGAATTGAGGGGGTATCTGACCTGTTTAAGGTGGATCCTTTAATTCGGTTCCCTGGGACACACAAGAATTCCTTGGGTTTGTGAAAACAGAAGTTTTAGACACATTTAAACTGTGGCATATTTTTGTACAATGAAAAGTATTTTTAAGAGTATGGAAGGCAACATAAGAGAGAAAATTGATTTGAAATTTGTTTGGTGAGGTAACCTGGTGAAACCTCTCAGCTATCAGACTGTATCAGAGATCTTTGAGAAGGATAAGATTTTATTTGAGTTACTGATTAAAAAATGACAGAGAACTTACCTGGTTGGCACCCAGAACTATTCTTTTTGGGTCCTCCATGGTCGCTGAAGGTTGCACTTGACCTTTGCTGGTTAGCACCAGGCCTGCCAGACTCCAGAAGACCCTGTGGGCTGAGAAATCTGTAGGAAGACAAGACTACCTTGACCTGAGCAGCTAGGCTCTCAATTCCAGCGATTCTGTCCACGTCTAGAGGTCTTTAGTTTAGATGATAGGCAGTTTTGCCCAATGGTCAGCACTCAGCAGTCGAAGTGAACCGCAGAAGGACGTTGTTCTGTGTGTCCATTTGTCTTCTGTCTTCTTTGGAGGAAGCAGAGTGCTGCTGCTGGGAGCCAACCTGTCTCTTTTTGTTATGAAAAGTTTTTTAATATTTAAATATCACATCCCCCAGATCTCTGAGCAGTTGAGGGCTGTTTATTACATATAGCTGCAGTATAGAATCTGCCTGGAAGGTTGGGTCTGAGCTTGACTGTACTGGCTCTTAACAGGTAAGATTTATACTCGTAAAAAGGCAGAAAGAAGAAGAAACTGCTTGCAATAGAAGGTTAACGGCAGAACTGACAATAGTAGAAAACTTTAATATATTTTAAATGAGGGTTGGATTAAATATAAGGCATTTTTGTAAGAGACTTAAAAGTACATACCAGTTTAAAACATGAGACTTATGATTTTTGTAGTCTGAAATGAGATGTAATGAACAATTATTGCACACAGAAAGAGTGAACAGGAATTGGGCAACGTGGATGCTTTTGATGGGCCCTATCAAAGGCATGCCACTGCGCAAAACACATGTAACAGAGTTAACAAGAGGATTTTAGTGAAAGCCGGGGAACAAGGCAGGGTATACTTAAGTAAAGATGGGAGAGCTTGGTCATGTGACGTGGCTCTCAGCCAAGATGGCGGTAAGGTCACCCATGTAATAAAGTTAGCACTGGGGAACCTGGCAGGTAACACCTCAGTAAAGATGGTGGAATTTGGTCACCTGACCTGACCCTCAGTCAAGATGGCAATAAAGTCACCTGACCCCAGTCAAAATGGCGGCATCCACGTGTTGTATGAAAAAAGTCACAATTTTTGAGCTGTAAGGATTTTAAGCTTAATGAAAGGGACCTAAAGGCATGATCTGCCCTGTTGCTGAGCCGCAATGCCACAACATAAGCCACAGAGGGGAGCAAAAGGCTGGAACTGAAAAAAAAAAAAACCCGCACCATGCCATGGCTGGAATTTTTAAAAGGCCAGGGTTGCTATCCAGAGCCAAAATCATGAAAACCCATGAAACAGTGGCACCCAAGGCCTATAAGGGAACGTCTTCTGGAAATAGGCAGGATGCAAATCGATGCAAACACCCAGGACTCGCAGACGAGGACCGCGAGTGGGGTATTATGGTCTAGCTAGATCTGGTCCGGTGACCCAGAACCAGAGAGGCCGGGGCCACTCTGAGTGGCGGTTACGACGAGAGAAGAAAAAAAGGAAAGAGAAGAAATGAAAAAAAGAGATAAAAAACTGGGGGGCCCTGGGTCCCCAGTCGAATGCACTGTACGGGGAGTGTGCAGTGCTAATGTGTGGGCAGATTGACCCAGGGGTCAGTCCAAACATGATTCCAGTAAAGGGGAGCAACCGTAGCAGAACAGGGGAGACTCACAGATTGAAGGCGGGAAGTCGGTGGTGGGAGTGGAAAAATAACCCAGTTCAGGATATCCAAGTTGCACGGCATCAATTTTAAAAATGCTGCAAGACCCCTGGCGGTTCCCGAGCGGTGGCTCGTCCCAGGCAGACTGGTCCTGAGCTGCGGATCCCTGACCAGGAGAGCCACCAGTCCAGGAGGGGTCCAGCTATGCGGCACTGGGCTGGTGCCGGGCTCCCAGTGAGTCCCTGGAAGGTGTAGTTTCCCAGTGGCGAGCGGCTGAGCAGGCACGTGGGTGGGAGACACATGGGCAGACACATTGTGTGAAATAGAATTGAATATTTATTACTTAGAGGAGAGAGAATGTGGAGGAAGAAGGAGAAGAGAAGAAGAGGAGAGAGACAGAGAAGGGCGAGAGAGAGAGAGAGAGAGAGAGAGAGAGAGAGAGAGAGAGAGAGAGAGAGAGA